CAACTTCTTTCAGTGCCAAATTTTACTCATAAACTTATTCATTACACTTATTTTACTTTTAACACAAAAAGGGGGGAAGGGGCGAAAATGAACATTTTCAATGGTACAATGTGAATAATTGTAAATAATTCCCCCATGTAAAATTACATGCCTGTATGCATCTACTTTCCAAAATGCGCCTTGTTAGAGTTATTATGACATTCAGCGCCTCCAGCAAATGCACAACATACATAGTAAGATGTAACCTTTTAAAAGAATAGAATTTATTCTGAGAGAGATTGGAGTATAACCAATTATTCCCACGATTTTTTTCTTGCGAGTGATTTAGTCTTTGGGGGGAGTGGGCTCCTCCAGTTTTTCCTACTTTCTTCCGATTTTGCGGTGCATTCCGTTTCATTCATGTAAATTGGCGCACTTTTCATCGTTCAAGAATTCTGATTGAATGATCAAATGGCACTCTATTTGATTTTAATTGTAACCAATAATCCAATATATCGTCGAATTAAGATGATTAACAATGATAAATATATGATTTATATTTATAAATTTAAAAAATCTGAAATCCTTTTTTTTTAATTTAACTCTTTTAAATATTTTCATTATGATGACATAACGTGTAGCATTATATATAGCACAAAAAATACAATTCTCTGACAGTGTTTTCAATAAGAGCCGGCAACCGGCAAAATTAACCGCCTGTACGAGTAATTTTGCCGGCTATGAATTTTCCGTCATTAGGATTTTGCCGGTGCTGATACGCGAAATCCATAGATTTTATCGCAACTATTTCCATGATCTAGAGTAGCTTCCCTTGAGTGCGCTCTTTTTTCAAGGAAGTTTGATTAGATCGATAGTGTCAGGTAACCAATGGCGTCGCGGACAACGAATATTCGAGCAAAGTCGTGGAGAAATGTGCTGCTGCTTTAACACATGCGTTTGAGATCACATACATTAAGAGGCATAAAGAACGGTCCCTTCCGAAAAGATTTGTTTGTGTTTTATAATTTTCGATTGAAAATTGATCATGTATCCATTCCAATTCTTGCAGAATTTCCGCAAACTGAAAATCTCAAATGTTAAGCTGATATAAAAATTACGAATAAAAGTCCTAATATTTTAATCGTGACTCAGACATAGAATTCTTAAAGCGTTTCCTCAAACTGAAAATGGAAAAAAATATTCTCTTTTATTCGTCTAAGAACTCTTGAAATACAGGAACAGTATCATTTTCACATTTGGGAAGGTTTTAATGTACTAGTATTTTGTATCAAATTCCATTTTCTTAATTATTTTATTCTGACTATCTGCACAAAATTCGAAAACGTAAATCAATTTGAAGATTAATTTATGAAAAGTCTAAGATTGCAGAATATTTCAATTTTTGGGGGGTACTGTACATGACCAAGTGTTTAAAAAATCTAAAATTTTCAACTAAATAATTTTTTGAGATTTGAATAAAAGTCCTGACCAATTAATGTGAAAGGGACTAAATATGTAGAATTTTAAATACAATATTCTATCACAGACAATATTGTCTGTACTAGAATTTCATACTTAAGTTGTCTGTATGATTTTATAGACACATAGAAAAAACCCAGTCTGTCAAAAATCTTGTCAAACAAATCTGTAAAAAGGTAAAAAAAAAATCTCTAATTGGCTTTTTTAGGTAAAATTTGATAATTGATAGTGACAAGAATGTGGAAAAAAAAAACTTTTTTAATGGCCTGAAAGGTCAGAAAAATGAGTCTAAAATGCTGATTTTCGTTTTCGGCCGGGGGCCTTCGCCCCCCTGGGCCCCCTACCAGGGCTCTGCCCTGGACCCGCTGGGGGCCTAAGGCGGCCCCCAGACCCCTCGCCGAGACTGGTTGTCCTGCTATTCCATCTATTTTTCCTTCTATTGAAAATCTTATTGAAAACACTGGACTCTGATCCCTGACAATGGTTAAAAGCTTGGAGTTTACTATGTCATAACGATTTAAGACATCTTAACTTAGGATAATCATAAGATAGCTTTGAAAAACACCTTAAGATAATCTTACGATGATAAGATAATAATCTTAAGATATATCTTAGGAAATTTCTTATGAACAATCTTAGGAAAGTTTCGTCAACATGCCTGCAGGTATTGAAAGCCATGTATAACACTCCTTTTTAATTTCAAATTCAATGAAACTACTATTGTAATTTTTCAAATGTAAGAGTACCAATGCAATTTCTTATTTAATCATTTTAGTTTCAGGCAACTACACAACTTCATTCAATATATTTAAAAACAGGTTTGGTGCAAGAAGTATATCATTCCGCAAACGCGCCCGACTATGATCTACCATCAGATTGTTCATGTATCGATTTAAATATCTATTCCCTTTGATTTACATAAACAACACTAAAAGAAGGTTCGGTACGACTTTTCCAAATTTATAGGGTTTCCATAGGCATTTAAAAATATTCAATTGCTTTAAATCCATGCTGATTTAAGTAGTGCTTAACATAATTTTTTATTTGAAGTATCCATTAGTATCTAAGTATTACCAAGAACAATTTGGTAGTATATTCTAAAGTAAAATGGCACATAAGGGCCCATTATGTATTGCTTAAGTGCACTTGTCCTTTAAAAAAAAGTTTAGGAAATGTTATAAGTTAAAGGGTCATGGACACTGTTTCAAAAACACGACAGAAGCCTTCTTTACATAACAAAAGGTTGGAGCTCTTCCTCTGCCTTGTATCTGGACAACTCGCGTTCATATTTTTAGCTCACCTGAGCCGAAGGCTCAAGTGAGCTTTTCTGATCACATTTTGTCCGTCGTCCGTCCGTCCGTCCGTCTGTCTGTCCGTCTGTCTAGCTGTCCGTCCGTGTGTCTGTCCGTCTGTAAACTTTTCACATTTTCGACTTCTTCTCAAGAACCACTGGGCCAATTTTGACCAAACTTGGTACAAAGCATCCTTGGGTGAAGGGGAATTTAAATTGTTAAAATGAAGGGACATATCCCCTCGCAAGGGGAGATAATCAAGAAAAGACAAAAATAGGGTTGGGTCATTAAAAAATCTTCTTCTCAAGAACCACTGGGCCAGAAAAGCTGAAACTTATGTGGAAGCATCCTGGTATAGTGTAAATTCTAAATTGTTCACATCATGACCCCCGGGGGAAGGGCGGGGCCACAATGGGGTATCAAAGTTTTACATAGAAATATATAGGAAAAATCTTTGAAAATCTTCTTCTCAAGAACCACTGGGCCAAGAAAGCTGAAACTTATGTGGAAGCATCCTGGTATAATGTTGATTCTAAATTGTACAAATAATGACCCCCGGGGGAAGGGTGGGGCCACAATGGGGAATTAAAGTTTTATATAGAAATATATAGGAAAAATCTTTGAAAATCTTCTTCTCAAGAACCACTGGGCCAGAAAAGCTGAAACTTATGTGGAAGCATCATGGTGTAGTGTAGATTCTAAATTGTTCAAATCATGACCCCCGTGGGAAGGGTGGGGCCACAATGGGGTATCAAAGTTTTACATAGAAATGTATAGGAAAAATCTTTGAAAATCTTCTTCTCAGGAACCACTGGGCCAAAAAAGCTGAAACATATGTGCCCATGGAAGGTTCATGGGGTAGTGTAGATTTCAAAATGTCTAAATTATGATCAGTGGGGTAGGGTGGGGATGCATTATGTATAACAAGGGGGAACTCTGGTAAAGAACAGACTGGTCAAAGCTTCTTAGGTGAGCGATGTGGCCCATGGGCCTCTTGTTTATGATCATTAGAAAGACCTTAGTTAAATATTTTCAAAAAATGGAAAAGTAATTTTTGATACTTAAGCTGAAAATATGTCCATGCCCCTTTAACATAATTTTATTTCTCTTAAGTCTTAGTGATGATTCTTATAGTAGAGATTCATTTTGCACAATTTAAAGCAATTTCACAGTCAAAATGAAAATATTTTAATTTCTGTTTGAAAAGAGGCCAAGTTTTAATTCAACTTATGCGATCTACACTTGGTATACATGTATACACCATGTTGAATATAATGCTACAACCTTTTAATCTTCACTGTGAAAAGACTTATTGAAAGAAACCCTGTTTATTTAACAAGGAGCATTTGTGATGCATGCAACCATGTGACAGTAAATATTTTCATTCTGTAGTCATTTTGGCGTCACCTAATTTTACTGCATAATTAAACTGTCGTCCATTGGATCGTGTTATCGCCGGCTGAAAATGAACAAATGTTCATACTGTCGCAGGTACACCGTGCCTTATTCTCAGTGCACATATTGTCGCCCAAAAGATATTGTTGCCTAATCCTTTTGTTTGTTTTGGTTTTTTTTTTTGGTAGTTTTGTGAATATAATTGGATGTAAATCACGCTCACATACCTCCCTTGCTGTTTCATGCATCGTGATTGTGAAGGTACATTTTGTTGTTTTGTTCGTATTGTCGCTGGCGACTATGTTTACCAATGCGTACATGTCACATTGCAAAGCATGGCAATCTACTATACGAATTAAATAATTAAGGATTCAAAGTTTTTTAGAGGAAAATTTAAAGGAATATTTATATATATTCCTGTTTTAAACTTTAATCCCCCATTTTGGCTACATCCTAAGCATAGGGTCATGATTTAAATCTACTCTATTCTAGGATACCTCCATATGAATATCACGAATCATGGACCTACTGCTGTTTCCAGTCCATATTTCAGTACAGGGGGGGGGGTGTTGGGTGGGTGGGTGGGGGCGATGCAGTATTTATTTTTTGCTAAAAAATTCATTTGTGTAGTTTACGACAAAATGAGCGCCTTTGCTGCCGAAACCAATAATTATGTCCAGAACGAAAAGATGCACCGCCACAAACCAAGATCTCTATGGATTGTAAAGTTAATGCGAAATAAAATCTTGAATTATACATTAAATATTTTAAATTGAGTGTTTAGGGGGTTTAAGTTACAGGTGGAAAATACGATGACACCAAATAAAATGAAGACTGTATTTATTTCATTTTAAGATCATACACAGACTTGCTGGAGGTGTACTAGATGGAGAGATAGATTCTCTACAAAACAAAGATCTAGATCACTCAGCACGGTCCTCTCTTAAACGAAACTTGACCGTTTTGACAGAAAGACTTCGAAACATAGAGAAATGCGTCGAGGATCACATTCCAAAGAACATAAGAGGTACAGATTCTATTCACTTAAACCATAGGTATGGTTCAGTAGTAAGTTTCAAGTTTTTAAATCGAAAGGAAAAAAATCTTTTGTCCTTTTTATTACGTCATTTTGCTTTCACATCTGCTTACAAAGGTAATTTTCATTTAAGGGCAAAAATTATCAAATACATTTGAATACAGTTATGTGTTTGAGTGTGTGTGGGGAATGGAGTAAGGGTGGGTGGGAGCGGGTGTGTTCGTGAGTCGGAGGGTGTGTGTGAATGGGGGATGAGGGTGAGTATGTGTGGGTGAATGTGCCGTGTCCATTCTAAATCGTCAAACGAATTTGAAAAATACGTACTAAAACCACTATTATGGGGAAAAAACTGATATGATATGGCTATCATTTGGCAATCACTTGATTTATTTGTATATAAAAAAGAAACGTGTAGAAAGGTATATTTTGTTTCTATCTTAGAACAACTTCAGAGAAAAGTTCAAAAGTGGAGAGAGGAGGACAAGGTTTTTGCAAACGTTCCTGCTTATCAGTCTGTTCGTGATAAACTCAATTCCTTGCCTTTCGTGACAGTTTCTGGCGGTGGTGGTTCAGGAAAAACGTTCCTCATTCGTCACGTTGCTCTGGAGCTAGAAAAAGAAGGATATGAGATCATTCCAGTCTCAGCAATCGAAGAAATCACCCTTTATGGAAAACTGCATTTCAAACAATTATTCGTAATAGATGATGTGCTAGGTGTTTATGGTCTAGAAATGAATTTATTTAACAATCTAAGCAGACATTCTGAAAATGTGCTAAGTTTATTAGAGTCGGGATCTAAACTACTCATTAGTTGCAGGTCTGTTGTGTGTAAGGAGTCCAAATCTTTAAATAGTTTTGTTACAGATATAAATCATGTCATCGACTTAGATGAGGAAGAAAATGAGCTCAATGATGAAAGCATAAAAAGTATGCTAGCAAATCACTTACAGAAAAAATACTTCGAAGATTTAAAGTTACCTAGAAAATTGCCAATGTTTCCATTGTTATGTCGATTATTTTCGTCTTCTCAAAAATATCAATCTGAGGGTGAACATTTCTTTCTGCATCCCTACCAGTGTATATCTTTAGAACTTGATAAAATGCGAGAGCTGAACAAAATGCATTATGCAGGCTTGGTGTACTGTGTCATCAAAGATAATTGTGTCTCTCCGAAATCTTTAGATAGGAAATGTCTGAAAAAAGTCTATGAACTTTGTAGATTAAACAGGTCAACATCTAATTCAGAGCTTGTGCATGCAATGCAGATATTGAGGGGATCTTATCTGACGCATGACATAGAGGGAAACTATTCTTTAATTCACGACAGTTTGTTTGAAATCGTTGCAGTTCACTTTGGAAGACGCTTTCAAGACTTTTTTATTGAACATTGTACCTCTACCTCTATTTACAACCTTTTAATGTTCGTTGAGGAGGGGTCAAAATGTGGCGAAAATCTTATTCCTGTCGGTGTAGATCACTTTCCTGTGTTGGTTGACCGTATCATATGTGATATAAAACGATTCCATCTCTATGAAGTGTTTAGCAGAATATGGCAATTTTCACAGAACGAAGCATTTGTTTCGGTATTTTGTAAAACTTTGAAAAATTTCAGTCATGGTGATTTTAAACAATTGTTTTTTGAGGTCAAGACCAATGAACATTTAAATAAAAAAACAAAGAAACTTATTCATGAAATAAACCAAAACATTGACATCTTTTTTGAAACAAAAAGATATATTGCAATTGACTTTAGTCTTTGGTTTTTGGACGAATATCATGCCCGAGTTGTAGACTGGATTATTGCATATAACCACGTTGGTTTACTCTCTGGTCTCATAGAAATTATCAGGGGGAAAAGTCAACTCGTTGAAGGAAAGGTTTGTCTCACTGATAAAAATGGTCAGGGCAGTTTAGAAGTATTATTTGGTAAGAATCTAGAATCACAATCTTCTTATTTAAGTTTAGCTTGTTCAAGCCGCAGTTTGGATATGGTCAAACTGATACTTAGTTGCGTGAAACACGAGTGTATAAATTATATTTATGATCGGATTGTGTGGCCATTAATGACTGCTTCTATGGTTGGCTGTACTGACGTTGTCAAATTCCTACTTAAAGAAGGAGCAAATATCAATTTGTTAAATAAGGAATATTATTCATGCCTATTTTTTTCTTGTATGTATGGCCGATACGACATAGCCGAAATATTAATCAAAGAAGGCGCTGACGTTAATTTGTGTACGGCAGATGGATATACTCCTCTTGATGCAGCAATGTTAATAGGAAATGCACGTCTTGTGAAACTTCTTATTACAAACGGTGCTGATATCAATTATGTGAACGTGAACGAGCTGTTTTCACTGTTTTATGAAATGGTTTTAGACAATCTAGATATTCTTAAACTTTTAATTGAGAGTGATCATAATGTGCATATTAATACCAAGTGTCTATCTGTCGCCTGTGAAAATGGTAAAAGTAGTGCTGTTGAGTATCTAATCGATAAGGTAGATATCAATCAAGTTGATGACAATTGTGTGCCTGCACTTCATTCTGCTGCCAGTTCAGGTCATCTTGGTATTGTAGAATATCTTGTAGAACATAGTGCTAACGTCAATCTGTGTGACGTAATCGGACGTACTCCGTTATTCCACGCATCAATAACTGGTCATCTGGAAATTGTGAAGTTTCTATTACAAAATGGTGCTGATATCAATGTAGGTGCTAGTTGTTTATCTTCCGCTTTTGAAGTCGGCCATTTAAATATTGTAGATTTTTTCATTGCCAAGATGGATGTTAACGCGGTCAGTGACATTTGTGATCCCCCACTCCATTGTGCTTGTGGTCAAGGTCATCTTGATTTTGTTAAATATTTAGTAGAGCGTGGAGCAAATGTGAATTTAATGAATTCAAGTAATGATAGTCCACTCTACTGCGCTACAAAGAATGGACAGTTACATTTAATTCAATACTTAGTAGAACATGGTGCTAAAATAAATCAAGATATTTTTGGTTATGAAAATGCATCCCCTTTGTGCTGTGCTTCAAGTGAAGGTTATCTGGAAATTGTGAAAGAGTTGATCAAGCTTGGTGCTGACGTCAATCTATGTGACGTAAATGGAGCAACTTCACTGTGCTACGCATCAAAATCTGGTTATCTGGAGACTGCAAAATTTCTGCTACAAAACGGTGCTGATGTTAATGTTGGAGCTAGTTGTCTATCTTTCGCTAGTAAGGGCGGTCATTTAGATGTTGTAGAATGTCTCAGTGATAAGATGGATGTTAACAAGGTTAGTGATATTTGTGATCCTCCACTCCATTGCGCATGTGGTGAAGGTCATCTAAGTATTGTTAAATATCTAGTAGAGCATGGGGCAGAGGTTAATTTGCTAAGTTTTTCTAATGACAGTCCACTATGTTGTGCTGTGGAGAAAGGACATCTTCAAGTTGTTGAATATCTTGTTGAACATGGTGCCGTCATAAGCCATGCTATTGAAATTGCAATGGAACGTGGTCAAGAGGACATCCTAGATTTTATGTTAAAACATTTGCACTAGGAAAGAAAAAATATTTAGCACTATATAAATGTTGGATTAGTTTGACACCAAAAAAAAAAAAATGCAGAAACAAATAAAGTCATCATGTATGTCAAATGTTATTGCATTTTCAATACCATTAGTTGTTGGAATTTTCATTTAAACATAAAGGAAATATAACATGTCTTATTATTTATTAGCTTAAGATAGCATTATCTTATCTGTATAAATTACATAAAATAATCTAACTATGTATAAAGTGAAACCAAAATCATCTGCATTAAACTTTGTGTCTTATTGTTTCTGTGTCTTTATTATTGAATAATTGATAACAATAAATGACTCACATAGACTATCCTTTTCATTACAAAGTAATTATGAATCAAATAAACATTCGGAGAGTTTAATATCCTTGTATTTTTTAATTGCTACGACATGGTCATCTGTGATACAATGTACCATGCAGTTTTCTATAGTTTCAGCATCGACAGTTTGTGATAGTAAACACGTACATACAGTTTGTCCCAAAATATATAATAACATTTGAAATTATGGTCAGAAAGACGTATCTGGAAGGATAAGGAGATAACGAACAGTATTCAATATCGAAGTCCATAAAACAATACAAATTAGAAGCAGAGCAAACACGGACCTCCGAAACATCAGAGGTGGGATAAGGTGTCATAGATGTGTAAGCATCCCCTGCTGACTGGTCACACCCGCCGTGTGCTCCTTGTTATGACCGGGAAATAACGGAAAAATCAGTCGATTCAGTGTATAAATCATGGACTACCAATTAGTATGAAAATTAGTATGAAAAACATAAGTGAGCATTTGACTCAATGCTTAATTGTATTTGCTGACAAGGTCATTTTATTGACCATAGAACTTACAAAATGATAACTTTAAACGAGACTGCTGATATTCTTGTTTCATCAACTTGCTTGTCAATAATTTACATCCTTTTAAAAATTGTTCATACGTAGAGCATGCTCTTGCATATCAAATCAACTAAGATACATATACTCCGTATGTAGGTGATGAAGGTATATTGCTGCTTAAGTAAGGGAATTTCACGATAAAAAAGTTAAAGTCATCACGTTTATCATATAGTTTGGTTGTTAGATTACCATTAAGATTTTTCAAATAAAATATCCAAGTATTAAACAGATGTGTCAAACTCTGTGGTATCTTTTGTTTTAATCTCACCAGGACATATCGTATTGACGTACATGTAGGAATGGCAATTACAATTGTTAATTGACAATAAGTCGTCGATGTATCTAAATGTCGAGTTGAAGGCCACAGCAAGTGTTTTCTTTTCACACATAAGATTTTGCACAAATTCTGCTTCAGATGAATATAAAAATTGGTCTGCTAATAACGGAACGCAAATGTTACACATGGGAATTCCGTTAGATTGTTTGAATACCTGGTCTCCAAAAACCTCATACATATAGGTATGGTCAATCAGAAACTCAAGTATTTCTTTGATGTCAACTTCAGAGTACTTGTGTCAGTGTGTCTTCATTGATACTTGTCTCATTTATCATAAGGATAAATGGAATTTTTAGCTACAAAAATCTCATATAGTGGAATTATGTTGTAAGAATGTAACAGTTGAAATTACGCATATTTAAAGAACACGAAACGCACAACATATTTTATTAATAGTCTATTTATAGAGTTTCTGTTCTTGCGCTAGACTGACTTGCCTGTCTGATCCTCGATATACAGTCGTTTCCTACGAATGAGACAGGAACTGCCAGTCAATCCTTGCACCAGGTATTTAATCTTATTTAAAAATTATATTATCAAAAACTTTATCAAAATTCTATTTGAATATTAACTGAGTTATTTTTCTAGTTTTAATTAATTTTCAGTTCAGTTATTTCAATTTATAAAATTATTATTGTTGAGTAGATCTCTAAGATTTAAACTGGTTTGGCAATTCATCTAAATAAATAAGACTCGTGCTCTAATTTGAACGTGTTCGAGATTGTGTTTGAGAGTCGTGCATTTTCATGAAAAATTGTTTGTTAATCTTGTGTTTATTAAACTTGATTTATACTGAATATTATATCTTTTCATCGTTAATATAACGAATATCGGTATCTTCTTTATTTCGATATAGAGACCACACACGCAGTTCTTAATATACAAATATGGACTCAATGTAGGTCAGTATGAATTTATAATGACCAAGGGTGACAGATATTGACCTTAGATACATGGAGTAAAGAGTATACTCCCTGTATCTGAGGTCAATATCTGTCACCCTTGGTCATTATAAATGCACATTGACCGTGCATTGAGTCCATATTTATTATATTATATAAGTAATATTTTACCAAATATAATGTATATCTTCCTAATGTTTACAAAGATAGTATTAACCATAAATAAGTTGAATGTTCATTGGATGTAACACAGAGAAACTTGTTTTGGTAATAAATTTTAACCCATAGCATAATAATAGTGCAAGATACCTATTTCCGAATAACACAGCTACATTACCCCCTTCCTCCCCCAGATTGAGGATCGCAGTCGTGTACACTTGCAGAGGAAATTATATGCACGGACAAACTATAAATACCTATGTCTTCTACGATAAGATACAATCATACATAACACACTCGTCTTTATTTTCTTTAGTCTCCGTAATCGCGTAAACTGCCTCAAAACTCTGCTCGCAGAGTGGAAAAGATGAACTCAACCATGAAAAGGCATGTGCTTAGTATTCTCGAAAAATGTTCACAGATATCCTTGTAATTGTTTTTTATTCACAGCCCTTGAGTTCTTTACTATATCTTTAAAATTTACCTCACCTACAACTTGCAAAGTTGCGAACTTCCATGTTTGTCTAAAGCGAAAGTGAAAACGAGGCACCTCGTGCGAGTCATTATTCGCGTTCAGCGGTCTTATAAAAAAAATAATTACTTTGTATTGACCAAATTACCGGATTTCGCAAAGTTATATAATATTATATTTTAAATCTACTATGAGTAACCGGTTGTGGCATTGCCATAATTTTGGGTTTGTGTTTGTTTGAATTTGAATTCATGTAATGATGAATTCTTTTATTTATGTCTGTGTGTTCTATTGGTAATGTGTGTATATAGGGTATTATTTTGGTGAAGCTTATTGCCAGTTGATATTAAATTGCAATAAATAACAGTACCGAAACTTGACCTTAGTCGTTAGATAAAACTACAGTACCGACCAGACCCAAAAAAACACGCAAGCAGTCCCCGGGATGCTTTGGGATCGCTCTGGGACTGCTGTGGGACCACTGTGGAACTGCTGTGGAACTGCTTTGGGACCGCTATGGAACTGCTCTAAAAAGCAGACCCAGCAGTCCCAGCTATCCCTGGAACTGCTTTCTGGGACTGCTTTGTTCACTCATGTGTGAAAAAAGGTTCTGAATGACATGATAGCTCCGCCCCTTTGTGTATTCTGAATTTGCAGGCCCCCTGTTGTTTTGTTTACTTGCAGCAGAGATGAGTTTAAACTGTTTAAAGAGCAAGGATTTCTTACAATCTTTTAATAAGTAGAGATTATTATAGTTAATTAATATTTACTTAGACTGTATATTTACACAAATGTAGTTTAGAATAAATTTTTAAAAAATAAAGTTGTTAAATCAGGAAGCCAGGAAAAGAATGATTTTTTCTCCAAATATACGATAAGGTTTATCATTTATTACATAAGGTTTATGTAGACCTTTTTATTACGAGGGTATTTAATGTAAAATTAAATGCTAAACATTTGCATTTGTACTATTTAAAAATAATTATTACAGCTAGATATAAGATTTTTAATTAAAAAAGGTACATGTTTTTAACCCTCAAATATAAAATTTCACACTTTATTTAATGACCATGAAATAAAATTAATAAATTAATGCTTCTATTAATTCTTCCGTAACATAAACAATGTGAAAAATCTCTGGGGGAAATTATTAATGAATTACTGGTAGTTTTTGATTCATAAACAAGTTATTAAAAAAGTACATTAATTTAAAAAATAAACAGTTGAAAATACCGGGAATTGTGATTTATTTCTTTTTTGTTTTGCTCCTGTTTACACCGCCGATTAATGTGTATAAAAATGGTATCAACATTCGTGGTTTCAATCGCACTTTGGGCAGAAAATCAGTGTATGTTATTTGGGTATACATATCAGCGTATCACATCATTGAACATGCTGGCCAACAATGACCCTAATTTCAATCTATGTAAAGCAGAAATAAAATTGATAAATGAAATGTGTATGAATTTCTTTCAGGATTAATTAATTCTGAACATAATCTGAGTGTTCCATTCTGGTGATTTACAGATATACACTCTAACATTTATAAATAATAAAGCACTTAAAATTTAAAGCACAGTATTACAGAGATAGCGAAATTTAGAGTACTTAAATTGACATGTCAGTAAAAATAATCATGACTGAAAAATAATACTTGGCAAAATTAACAAAGAATTTTTTTAAAAGCCCCAATACTTAAGAAAATTTATTAGAGTATTCCGATAGTACGGAAATTGGCCATATAACGATAAGATCTTTTTAAAACTAATCCTGGTGCAAAATAATTAATTCTCGTTTAATTTTCTGTATAAAGAATAAATATGGAAAACAGTATCAATTATAGAAAATAAAGAAATCGAATTATCAATATACCAGATAATTGTGATTAATTTTAATTAATAAATAATAAATTTTAATAAATTCTAATTTAGGACTGCCCTGGTGTAATATTCATGTTCAGTTCAATTTCATACATATACGTGTGAAAGCCTTCTTTTCAATTAATATTATTTCAATTTTGTTTCTATGCGCGTATTGTTCATAAATGACCTACGCACACATGTAAGGATCCCAGCCATACTACCCAGAATCAAATTCTACAGCCTTTTATAGTTCCATTGTTTATTGGAAATCTCATTTCTGAGTTAGCTCCGCCCATTAAATAAAAAAACTCGCCCTCTGGGACTACCGAGACTGCTTTCTGGGACCGCTGGGACTGCTGGGACCGCTCTGGGACTGCTGTGGGACTGCTTTAGCAGTCCTAGACAGCAGTTCCCGGGACTGCTCTGGGACTGCTTTGTGTCAGGTTGGGTCTGGTCGGTACTGTACATGAAA